GAGGGAGGGAGAGGGGGAGGGAGGGAGGGAGGAAGGGAATGGAAAATTCTATGACAGCGACACCAGGGAGCATTGTCACATGGGATGTTAAATCGGCTGTCATCTGGGGTAAGATCTTATCTGCAGATCCAGGGCAGAGGAGCGGAGCTAAGAGGAGGGTCCCAGGTCGAGGCCGAAAGGAAGCCACAGAGAGAGACCTGGGCAGAGAAAATGGGCAGAGGGATTTGCAGAAAAGTGGGGTCGGAATTCAAGCGTTAGTCCAAAGAGCAGTGGGTTCCTGAGGAGGAAAACAGTGTCTCTCGGGTCAGCTCAGAGAGAGTCAGAACCACACAGCTGTTTCAGCCTAGCTGTGTGTGCTTGGGACTGGCCTGCGTCCGTCCCTAGCTTGTGCCCACCCCATCCCCACCTGGGACAAGCTCTCCCTCTCCTGGGTGGTCTCAGCACGGCCTCATTCCCACCGGTTCTAATCTCTGTGAACATCAGAATCACTAGTAGAGCTTCTTTTTTCTCTCTGTCTCTTTTTTAATCCTTTAAGTAGATGCATAGACACTCTGGTACAAAATTTAAAAGGTATGAAATGCTCTGAAAAGCAAGACCCCCTCCGACCCCTGCTCCCAGCCATCCAGGATTCTGACGGGGCGGTGTGCACACACACAGCTCAGGGGGTGCAAAGGGGAGCGTGCTCTGCCTGCTCTTCGCCTTTTTAACTCCACAGTAAATCTTGGGAGACAGTTCCACACAGGTTCGCACAGCCCTTTCTCGGTCTTTTTGAGAAGACACAGTGTTCCTTGTACGGCTGGACCACAGTGTAAAACATCAGACCCTTTTTGGGCACGTGGCTTGCTTCTGCTCTTTGCTGCATCGCCTGTCCTCACAGCCGCTCCATTTCACAGGACTTCATTTCACCTATCCCCGGAGAGGAAATTCTTAGAAGTGAAATGACTAGGTCAAAGGGCAGCTGGTGACTGCCAAATTGTACAGGTTACACTCCCCTTGGCAAAGTATGAAAGAACCTTTCTCCCAGCGGGACTCCAACAAAAAAAATCTCGGCATCTGTGGGTGTGGGGCCGGGGCCCCTGTGCTGTGGCTCAGAAAGGGGATCTGAGCTGGAAGCCCCCTTGGGCTCCTGCCCACCCCAGCCTCTCCCTTCCCGCAGGGATTTGCCGCGGTGAGGCAAGCGTGACCTCCAGGCCCGACAGGCTCAGCGTCTCCCAGGCTTCAGAGCTCGGCATTCGTGTCGGGGTGATGCCAGCAGGGGAGCTCACGGGGTCCTGACTGGCAGGTCTCCTGTCCCCCACTGTAATCCAAGTGTCACCCTTGTTAACTGGGGACTGGAGCACAGGCCTTGCTTGGTGACAACCATGTGGACATCATATGGAGACATTTTGGAATAAAACAGGGGGAAATGGAAATGGTTAAAAGTGGCGATGTAACTGAGGGACTTTTTTTTTTAATATGTAGTCTTTTTATAATATTGACATTAAGACCAACAAATAAAACTACCAAGAGCTGGAACCACAACACAACCCATGACCCCGCCAGGGTCCTCTGATGTGGCATTTTTGTGTAATTGTTCTGTGTGACACCCTCAGGAGGGTCCAGGGCTGGGAGGCACCCACCTGGTAGGTGCAGGCCTGCCCCACCCTCTGCTGTTCTGGGCGAAGCTCTGAGGAGACGTGACTAGACCAGCTGCCTTCCCGTCACATATTCCTGCCACGCTGGGCGGTGGAATCACCTTTATTCTGTAAGAACTATTGTGATCAACTGGACCTCTTCGGCATGGCCAGGCCCACCTTGGGGCCTGACACTGAGTGGGCACTTAATAAAATAGTAGAGAGAGAGAAAGCGAGGAAGGGGGAAGGGTACCCATGTGGTATAATTTAACAAACCCTGGGGACTTGGCACACCCAATACTCCCTGCTACCTCTCACGGAGCCTGACATTCTCACTTTCCTGATGCTGCCAGCTTGATGGGTCTGTCACCTCTTCAAAACGGGCATCCATCATTGATGCACTCAACAAATATTTATTGAGCACCTGTATGTCAGGTACAGTTCTAGGTACTGAGACTATAGCTGTGAATAGAGCAGTCAAAAAATTACACTTTTGCCTTAGCTGGTTTAGCTCAATGGATAGACCATCAGCCTGCGGACTGAGGGGTCTCAGGTTTGATTCCAGCCAAGGCCCCATGCCTGGGTTATGGGCTCCATCTTCAGCGAGGGGCATGCAGGAGGCAGCCAATCCATGATTCTCTCTTATCATTGATGTTTCTATCTCTCTCTCTCTCTCTTCCTCTCTAAAATCAATAATATATATATATATATATATATATATATATATATATATATATATATTTAAATCACACTTTTAAAGTGTGAACTTTAAATTTTTTGGGGGGGGGGCGACAAACAAAGAATGTATGAGACATTTGTATTTATAATACACATCTTGTAGTATCTACGATGAGGATAACTGCTAGAGAGGACAGAACAGCAGGGAGGAGAGTGACAGGGGCAGGTGAAGAATTCAGAGAGGACAGCCAGGGAGGCCTCCCTGAGAGTGACAGCCGAGGAAGGACCTGAGAGGAAAGGAGGGAAGCCAGGCAGGCAGGTGGGGGAGAGTGTTCTGAGAAGCAGGAACAGGCGCAAAGGCCCTGGGGTAGGGCCTTTGGTTTCCTGTTACTCATTTTGTCTCTTGATCTGGAACACAAGGCAGGGAGATGTGTTATACGTCTCTAGAAATGATTTTGAGTATCTTTTGCTCCATGCCCATTTGTACTCTTGAATAGACATTACTATTGTAAATAATAGTAATAATAATAATAATAATTCAGTGTATGCCTACGGAGGACACCCAGCTTAGAGTTGGACACGTAGCAGGTTTCACTAATTATTTGCTGTTTGGATATTTGATAGTAATATGTTTAAAATATCAGGGTCCTTTTTTTTTTTTTAAAGGTTTGTTAATCCCATAGTTTTACTTGACAAGAATCGAACCCGGGACCCTTCAGTCCAAAGGCCGAGGCTCTATCCACTGAGCCATTCCAGACCAGTTTTAACTGTAGAATTCCCACCGTAAGCTGGGCCTCAGGTTCCCAGTTCTGTGAGAAGTCGGCACCTGTCACCTTTTTTTACTGGCTCCCTCCCGCTCCCCAACATCTCCTCCGCTAGAAGAGCAGAATCCAGAATCCGAGGTTTTCATTGTTGTTTAGGGAAGCGCTTGTGAGGTTTTGACACTTGAAAACCCAGGGGGGTCATCCACCTGGTACCTGAAGTGTGGGTGATGAGAGAGAGCCGAGTTGCAAGAAAGGGTTGACAGACTCCTGTCCTCTTGCTGGTTGGCTCACCCGATGCCTCTGTGCCATCCATCCGCCTGTGTGCCCACAGGTTCCAGCAGGAGGTCAGCCAGCCCTTCAGAACACACGCGTGTTTCCTGACCCGCCAAAGAGCACGTTGGATGGCACCTCCAGTTTCATAGGAACATTGTAAAAAGGAAGGAAAACTAGCTGAGATGTGTGTGGTTTGGGGAGGCCCCCATTGGTTTGGAGAGGTCCCTAATCCATGTGGACAGTGATGAGGTCTCTTTTCTGCAGAGCCCAGGGGGCAGGGACACACACAGCCTAGAGAGCAGCCTGGAAAGGGGGCAGGAGGGAAAGGGGAAACTGAGGCAGGAGGCAGGGCCGGGCCGGAATGAGAGGCGGACGTTTTCGGCTGAGCCAGAGAACAGGTCAGAGGTTGTTGGCGGCAGATGGGTGCGTTTGTTGCCAAGTGCAGGCACAGATCCGTGGGGGGAAAGGTGCGGGCCCACCGCTGCTCCGAGGGGGGCATTTGAAAGTGCATGCCGTCTTGTTGCCATGCGGTTGGACACAGGGCTCCGGAAAAGGCAGATTCCTGTTTTTCAACATTTGGTTTAGAACAATGATTGGTGTACAGCGTGGCTATAGGCACGGTGAGCCCTCAGTGAATGTTTGCAGTTGAAATGATCTTCGGATTCAAAATAGGAATTTCAAAGCCCACCCCAGCCAGCAGCGCCCCTTTCTCTGCATGGTGTTCGGGATCCCCTCTGTGCAAGGCCTGCACCCAGCAAACCGCTGAGATTGGGTGTTTTTCTTTCTCCTTCCCTCCCACTACCCCCGCTCTGGAGCCACCTACAGACCTCCTGTCACTGCCCCCCTCCCCCTTCCCCTGGAGCCTAGGCATGGGGGAGGTCTCATCTCAGCCAGTAAGGGGGAGGGGGGCCTACTTGTCTTTCTCCTTCCGTCATATGGATGAAGAGCTCAGTTTCTCCAGGTGAAACCTGTGTCCCCTGGACTGTGGGCTGCGTGGCCCGTGGGCTGAAGGCTAGTTTAGCCAACTCTGGCCGGCCCGGCACAGCCCAGGTCATAGTGACATTTTGTGACATAGTGACATCCGCTGGCTTCCAGGCAGGCACAGGGCCCCAGGAAAGTAAATCCGCTCAATAGCCCGAGTGGAAAATGTCACTATGACCTTTCTGTCAGTGCTTTTAAACACGGGCTTTTAAAAAATTATTATTTTTTTTATTGTTCAGCAATAAAACCTCTCCCTCTCACATCTCTTCCCAGCTTCGTTCCATCCTCAGAGACCACAGGGTAGCGGTGTCCTGTGTTCCCTCCTCACGTTTTACACATCCGCAGGCACCACGGGGCAGCCGCACCGGGTTCAGTTCTCCTTCCTCGGTCCTTGGCCTTTGATGTTCCTCTGTGCCTCCCCTTGGTGCCGTCTGCCATATGACGGTCCTGTCACATGCGTGGAATCGCCTTCCAGATTAAAATATCTTAATGAGCGTGAGCGCCCTGGCCTGCAGGATCAGTAAACAGCTCCCTGGGATCGGGGCCCTGCCAGCACAGTTGGTGTCACACCACCGTTAATCTAAGCCATCCCCTCGGTGGCAAGGTCCCTTAAGGCCACAAAGGAGGCATTCCAAAAAAGGGATCCGTCTCCTTAGGCGGCGGCCTATTTTCTCTCGTTTCAGAAACTACCATGAGCCGAAGCATTCCCGTGGAGGTTGATGAATCAGAGCCGTACCCAAGTTCGTTGCTGAACCCCATCCCAGAGTATTCCCTGCAAGAGGGATCAGGACCCCTTGATCCCAGCGTGAGGCACATGGCACCCAACGGCTCGTCTGCGCCCCAAACCCCTCCCCGTTCCTCCGAAGACTGTTCTCAGGATTCCCCTCTCCTGCAACTGGCAAACCGCCGGCGGCTGGTGTCCCGGCACATGGCCTGCCTGCGCACCAAAGTCCTGGAGGAGAGTGAGGACAGCTTCTGGAGGAGACACGCGGACCGGGGCGGAGACCTGCCCTCGGACTCCTCTGCGGCCAGCGAGGCTGTGGTTGGTGCCTTCTCCCCAGAGCACCACCAGTTCTCGTTTAGGGAAAAGCGACATCAATGGCTGGGATCTGCGCTCTCAGCAGCTTCTCCCGACACTGGCCACGGCTCAGGCAAATCGGACCGACAGTCACCTAATGCCTTAGCAGACTCCTCAGGCAGCAGCCAAGAGATGGTGCAGCGGCCCCGGCCCTACAGGCACCGAGCGGCCCCAGACCTGCCCACCATAGACACGGGGTACAATTCCCAGCCCCAGGACGCCCTGGGCATCAGGCAGCTGGAGAGGCCCCTGCCCCTCACTTCCATGTGCGACCCCCAGGACCTCCCCAGGCCTCTCCGGTCCAGGGAGTACCGTCCGTGTGAACCTCAGAGGCACCCGGCGTGTGCACAGATGCTGCCTCCCCACCTTTCCCCGCGTGCTCCGTGGAACCATCCGCACCAGCGCCCGGGAGGGCCCGTTCACCAGGTGCCATGTAAGTGAGCTTTCCCTCCTCTGGACATTCTGAGCTGGGCCACAAAGTAAAGGGGGATCCTAGGTCAGTGCCCCGTGACCACAGATCAGCAGACAGGTCGGGCAGGACGTAGGAGGGCATTTTGCTTCCCGTAGGGCTGTGTGTGTGTGTGTGGTGGGATATTCAAGAGGCTTTGAAAGAATGCTTTATCTTAGCCCCAAACCTGTCCCACTTGGAAGCGGCTCTCTCGGTACCTTCTAGGACAGAAAAGATTCCTCTGTGCAGTTAATTTAACTGAAACTGGCCTACAGGCAGGAGAGGAACTAATGGGCTTCTACAAAATGTACTTGTTGCCCTAATTCTTGGGCATCCGGATTCTTCCTTCTCTGCATGCTTCCTCCCCATCTTAGATTTGGCAGAGAAAGGGGCCTTTAGTTAAACACACACACACACACACACAAAAAAAAAACACAAACCCAAAATGTGCCAGAATGTCACTGAGACTCTGGATTCATGCCATTACATGGAGATCAAATTGCCACAGTGATTCTGCTGCTTGAATTCCTTTGGAGGCCTGAGCCATCTGCCTCTACCCTACCTTCTCACCACATCCCAGGACGCAGTCCCTGACCTGTCTAGCTGTTTCACATCCCAAGTATTTGCCTGTGCTCTTCGCTCTGTCCAGGATGTTCTTTCCTTTCTTGTGCATGTGACCCAGCTCTATTCTTCTTTTTCTTTCACAGCTTTATTCAGATCTAATTTACATATTGTGAAGCTCACCTTTTAAAGTGTACAATTCAATGAATTGTAGTCTATTTACAGACTTATATGACCATCACTATGTACATCTCTTAAGACTTCGCTCAAGTGTTCCCTCTGCAAACCTCCCTAGATCAGTCCCTCCTTCAGGCTCTCTGTTGCCTTTGTTTCTGCCTGTCAGGGCCCTCTCTCTAACCAGTCTCTCTCTCTCTCTCTCTCTCTCTCTCTCTCTCTCTCGCTCTCTCTCTCTCTCTCTCTCTCTCTCTCTCGCTCTCTCGCTCTCGCTCTTTCCAAAATGCAAGCCTTTTCACCTCAATAAAGTTGTATTTTCAGTCTATAATTCCCCAGCATTTAGCACAGTGACTAGCATATCCTAGATTCTCAATAAGTTATCTCTGAACAAGTGAATAATATGTATCAGTGCAGTAAGCATCTCTGAAAGTGACAAAATGTCAGATTGAGATGGAAAGTTCATCAAAATCCTTGGTATTAAATCTCCACCAAGGCCACTGGAAATAAAGATAGGGCTTAACGGATCAAACGGGCTCTGAGATACAATACTTTTCTTAGCAAATAAACACAGTACAAAAGGAGATTCAAGTGAAACAAGGAGAGTCTGTCCAAAGGCCTGACACCTAGCTTTAAAGTAAATCGTAGCAGTAATTACAAATGCTGTGACCAATCCGAGTCTATGTATGATGCACGTACACTTAGTAAAGGTTCCTAAAGTGAATGGAACAATACAGCAATTAATGATATTTTTTAAAGGAAGGAAGCAGAGGAATTTGACTTAGGAGAAGCAGGTGAGTGTGAACAGGAGTTTCGGAATAAGGCCGGGAGATGGGGAGAGAGCAGGGCTTGAGGAGGAAGAGCCTCTGAGGCCTAAAACTGAGACCCAGCGGGTTGGGTGTTGGGAAGTCACCTGACCGGGAGCCTTGGCCACCACTGCCTGCTCCGAGCACCCAGTCCTCGGATGAGTGTGGTGGCTGGGGTTCCTCAAGTAAGAGAAATGGACTTCGACAGGGTCAGGGTTGCATTTATTTCCCAGTGATTTCCAAGTTTAAAGGGAATACTTTGTGAGAATAATACCACAAACTACTTTTTTTTTTTAAAAAAAACATTTATTATCTGCATGTAAAGATCATTATTCTGATCATGACAGTAATATTTATTCACTCTCAAAATGGAAATAGGCCCGAAAATTCAGTTCATATCTCCATCACCCACATATAATTCCTTGCTGAGTTCTTTTGACATATTTACTTCCGTTTCTTTTTTCTTTGTGTACACATTCGATATAAACTCAAATTAGTTTCCATTGACATTTAGTGCACTACTTTTAACATCATTTTAAAATGCTGCATAATATTTCATCAGCTGGCTCTACCACATGGTTTTATTCTCCATTGTTGGGCATTTTAAATAGCTTCCAGTTTTTTTATCCAGTAAGCAGTGACACGACAAACATGATGTACGTTAAGTTGTTACATGCATTTCTCACAAATTCCTTAGTTTAATGTGTAGATGTGTGAATACATCGTCCAGGGCTTTGGGATACTAAGCCCCAAGCAGGTGCTTTTATCTATTAACCGGACATGATGATAGACAAAGAAAGCATTGATTTATTGTCATACAAGGGTTCCAGAAAGATCTTCCTAGTTGAAAGCATTTTACCTGTTGAAGCCTAAAGTGGCGCCATAAGCAATCCAGTCTTCAGAGGTGAGCATTGCCGCTCTGCGCAGGCTCTTTGGAAACACAGACCCTCCTGCCTGGGAACACTTTTAGCCTCCGGTACCTCGTGACCTGATTTCTTTCACCAGGTCCCTTCCCTTTGCTTTCTGCATTATTTCCTTCTATTGAAGGGGAGGAAAGGAGGGGACCCTGAGGACCCTGGGGGTGAAGAGAGGTGATGAAAGGCAGAGAGGAGAAAATTTGGACAGGAAAGGGGAATAATTCACAGAAAATATACCAATGGCTTATGAGCATATGCAACCAAGCTTACCACTGCTAAGTTTAGGGAAAGTTTAAATGTGCAAAAATGTTACAGATACCTTTTTCCTAATTAGGCGTACAAAATTCAAAAACATCCAGGGTTAGTGGGTTTTGGAGAAGGGAACACTCCCACCTGCTCTTGGTAGGAGTGTCATTGGTACAATGTTCCAGAAGGCAGTCCCGCATTTAACAAAAGTTAAATGTGCTTCCTCTCGAGCCCAGCAGTCTCACCGTGGGAACCTACAGAAGCACTGAGCAAGCAGGTAAAAATGCATGCTCAAGGCTGTTGCATGAGAGTAAAAATAAAAATGAAAATGCCTATCAATAAGGGGAATATGAGTAATCTGTGGCGAACATACAGTGGATTAGGAGGCTCCTATTACAGAGTAATAAACACATTCTGACATTAAAAAAAAAAAGACTAAGTGGAAAAGCATGCAGTGTAGATCCTATACATGTTGTTATTTTTTTTTTAACTGTAGGTGTTTAAAAACTGCATACTAAAAAATCTGGTCCCAGCCGTAAATAGCGATCATGGGAGAAGGGAACAGAGAATTACGAAGAGAGGGGGAGATTTCCCTTCCAACTTCATGTACTTTTGTTACATTTGTTATAGCAAGTGTTCCTTTTATAATTACCAATGAGTAAAAGAGAGAAAAGAGAAAAGTGAGGCGAAATGAGAGTGTACAGACGGGCTCACCCTGATTCACCCGGCATAGGTCTTGAGTCATGGGGAAGAGGGTCAGGGTTGGGTCCTTTTTGTCAAGGATGCCCAGGGTTATGGGTTTTTCCTTGGGGTAATGCAAACCCAGGATAGTTTATGGGACCCCCAATAGCCAGGGCTTCCCGCCAGGTGGCTGTGAGGGTTACATGAGATGATGTATGAAAGATACTAGGAACGATGCTTATGGCAAAGCCCTGAATAACTAGCAGCTCAGTTACTGTTATTATTTAAATTAAAATCCTGCAGCACAGCTCTGCAGAGAGCCCCTCGACTTCCAGATCCCCTTTGCTGGCACAGATTTTAAGCATTCGAAGCATGTGTGCAATGCTTAGTTTCATGTTGGGGCTGTAACTGCACTTAATTGCCAGCAAAACCACTTCAAAGGAGCTGTTCACCTAAGGGATGCTTGTGCAGTCGGAAACCATGGCTACGTGGCTCTGTTCGGCTTTAGAAGAGCATTACTTCCTCCTCCGTTAATGAAAATATAAATAAATAATGACCGCCACGCAAATGGCATATCTTAGCCTTTGCAAGTTAAAGCAAAAATGGCTACCGGTCTCCCCTTTTATGTTTAAAAAAAAAAAGAAAGAAAAGTTTTCAAAGCAAGTGGAGAAGTGGAAGTAAGCCTGTCTCTCCACCCCTCGCCGCCGTCTTTGGAGATGGCAGCCTGAGAATCCTTCCAGGGAAGGTCATCAGAATAGAGATCATGACTGTGCAATCACATGAAACCCATAATGCAAATAAAGTAGAAAAAAGGAGAATGTATTAAATGTAAAGAGGCTTTATTTTACTATAAAATTCTTGCTTTCCCTACCAAGGAGATCGAGTAAGATAAAACTGTGGACACATACCTACTATTGCTCATGTGGGCCCCCCAAACTGTGATGATTTTTGCATGTCAGAATGCACGCAGCCACAAAAGTAAGGAGAAGACAAACCAGATGGAAGAAATGATCACGAAAGGAGCAGCTCTCCAGGAGCCACAGCTGCTCGTAGCTGTGCGCGTTCCTGTAGCAGTTTATGTTGGCTCTTTTGCTTCCCGGCTAACCTGCATTCTATCACGATGTTTTTGACAACTTGAAAATCAGATTTTGCTTTCTCCCTCAGAAACTCTTCTAATCCATGCTTAATAAGGAAGAAAAATGTGGAATGCTTTCTCTGATAAGCGGAAAACCTCATTAGGATTTGGCTTAAAAAGTCCAAGCGGTAGAAACCCAGGAAGGTGAAGACCGTGTGTCCTCAGACCAAGAGGGTCATACGATGGACAAATAACCCACCATTCTGGGCCCCCGTTTATGACTGTAGGGTTTGCAGCGTGTGTTGTGATTAAAACTGCCTCAGGATCGAGGCGTTGCCATGAAACAAATCATTTGTCTGTCACACCACCCACCACCTGCTATTCTTCATCTCCCACGGAATAAACTCTCTTGGTGAAATTTCAGACGGGGGGAGGAGAGGGGAGTTAGTGGGGGAGATATTTTGGGGCAGTAATTCTTAAGTCTACCATGTAGGTGGCTGCCGACTTGCACACCTCTCCTCACACACTAACAAGTGTGGGTTTGTGTTTCAAAACAGACACCTACAGACACACAGATTTTCTTTCTCTCTCTACTTGGTTTGAGCTACTTAAGGGAACTGTATCCCATTTATCGATTGTCTAGCCATAGAAGATCAATAAATATTTGTCAAATGAACGAAAAGAAACCTGCTCCCTACTTCCCGGGGAGAGGAGAAAGACCTCAGCATGAGAGAGCCCCTGTGATATCAAACCTTGATAAGAACATCTCTAATTGTCTCACGGGAGAGGGGCGGAATGGAGGGAGGTCCTTGGGATTTGGAATCAGAACTTGTCCATTCACTTATTAATTTATTCTACGAATATTTGCCAAGTACACCGCTAGGCACTGAGTGTACATGGGTAACTACAACACATGGGCTTGTCTTTCACAGTCTACTGGGCAGATAAATAGAAATCAGCAAATACAGTAAGTGTCAGTGCTATGAAGGAAATAACCAGGTGTTAGGAGAGACATTAATAGACAGGGTGGATTTTTTTTTTTTTTTGAGAAGGACACATTTGAGTTGAAACCTAAAGGATGAGAAGGTCAAGGAGTAGGAGCTTGCTAAGTACCCAAAGCAGGGCTGCAGTGGCGTGAGCAGGAAGAGACTTGATATGCTAGACAGTGATGGGTGCAAGGGCCATCGTAAGGAATTTGGATTTAATTCTAAGTTAAACTTCATTAGGAAAACAGAAAATTGAACTCTGTAATCCTGGAGAACTTAGAACAGTGCTTGGCATGTATCAAGTACTCAATAAATGTTAGCCATTGTTATTTATGTATGGGGTACCCACCTAAACTAGTAAGCCTCCGTCAAAATAGTAAAGCAGTATTATCACAATTTGAGCAATGGAAGATATTCATCTGTCTACTAAGCACAGTTTTTATTTAGCAACTTTCCTACACAACCAGCCAAATGCCAGACAGAACCAAATTCCACTGACAAGAGAGAAAGCTTGTATTTGCTGTTTCTCTCTGGTATTCATTATTTCTTTGTTTTAAATAATCAAAGGACAGCATGAAAAACTGTTCTGTCTGTACCCTAATTTAAAAACTAGATGAGGTGGATCATTTTGTCTGCTCACATGAACCAGTTTAAGTTTCTACTGTAGGTGGCCATTTCAGAAATGAAAGTTACAGCTAATCAAACACTTAGACCACACGCCTTGGTGATTTTAATGATAAGATTTGTTGCTATGAGACAAAAACGTGTTGTGTGGGAAATAATCTGTTAGAGATCATATGACCTGGATTCAAAGGCTTTTGATTAACAGCACTAACATCCGCCTTCTGGAAAAGAAACAAGCACTATGATTAGAGCTGGGTAGTCCTTTTAAAGCATATAAAACATATTAGCTACTTACTAATGGATAGTGGAAGCAAACATTATTTCGAATATTTAAAATGGTCAAGGCCACCAACAAAGTTTTTTTTTTCTTTTTAATGTTTTTATTGATTTCAGAGAGGAAGGGAGAGGAAGAGAGAAATAGAAACATCAATGATGAGAGAGAATCATTGATTGGCTGCCTCCTGCACACCCCACACTGGGGATTGAGCCCACAACCTAGGCATGTGCCCTGACTAGGGAATCAAATCGTGACCTCCTGGTTCATAGGTCAATGCTCAACCAGTGATCCATGTCAGCCTGGCAATTTTTCTTCTTTTTACTTTGTCTTTCTTCTTTCTACTTTCAGACACACACACACACACACACACAAAAGGACAGCTAATGACAGTGAAATAGGTCAGTGGTCACCACTTTCAGATCTCATGGACCACCAGTGGTCTGCAGACCAACAATTGGCGACTGCTGATCTAGATTACCCAAGACCTACCAGGCAGAGTGTAAATAGCTCCTCTTTGAGTGTGTGTGTGTGTGTGTGTGTGTGTGTGTGTGTGTGTGTGTCTGTGTGTGTGTGTGGAATTGGCTTTGTAACTGCTCAGTCTTCATTCCTTTATTGAGCATCCCTTTGTGCCTGCACTGTGCTTGGAGACTTGATGGCAAACTGACACAGGCCATGCTCTCACAGGATGCTAGGAGGGGAGGCAGACAAGAAGCTGACAACAATGCTTACTTACACAAACACATGCTGAGTGCTATGGAGAAAGTAAAATGGGTGGGAGTAGGGTAGGCCAACTGGGTGAAGGGGTGATATCTGAGCCTCTGAGCCCTGAATGACAAGAAGTTGATCTGTAAAGCTTGAAGGCAAAAACATTCTAGGCAGAGAGGATGCCAACTCAAGGACCCAAAGGTGGGACAAGCTTGGGATGTTCAAGACGAAGAAAGATGGCCATGGTGGTAGTTGGGGCTTGGTGAGCGTGTGAGAGCAGCATAGGAGGTACGACCAAGAAGGATGGGGATCGGATTGTGCAGGGTGGATTTTAAGTACAGTGGGATCTCTGGACAGCCTGGTTGTACCTACAGCTGGTTTTGTAAATGGTTCGTGCATGCCAGATTCATCTACAAGCAGGGCTGGCTTCTGCCTGGTGGCCTGCTGGCAGGAGTGCTTTTTCTAGCTGGGGGGAGGGGCAGCAGTCATGACCTCCCTGTAGGCCTAAAACTCCAACTGGCCACCTGGACCCCTGAAATGTATCTGACCTGCCCCAGGGAAGCTGCAAAAGCAAATCCTGCGTAATGTATCTTGTCCTAGAACACAGGGGTCTCTGTAGTCCCATGTCCCCGTTCTTAGAGATGCCCTCAAATCATGGTCTCCTTTATCAGCTGGAGGCTGGGGTAGACCCTTTAATCCTCATCCTGTTTCTTAAGCCCCTAATGTCATGACCAGTCCTAGTTGTAGGGCAAAGGTTACAGTCAGGTCCAGGAGTCAACCTGGGTTGGAGGAAAATACTCACTTTTGCCAGAGGATACATGACAGGAAGGAGCTGCTAGTGTCACAGGTCAATGCAGACAACACAGTAGATTAAATCCAGAGAATCTGATGACGAGTGACTGGCTTGGGCACATTTCCAGGGCCACACAGGCAAGTTGCCTGCATCCAGACAAACAACGTGTAGCCACACCAGTGAACACACATGTTGTTTGTCTTCTTTTCTGTATGTGAGGACATTATTCCCCTGAGTGTTCCCCTGGAAACTTGAATGGCTTCTGACTACCTACTGACCTAAGAATCCGATCATTAGCCACATTCTCACCCTCTACATTCTGGGTCCAATTTATCTTGACTGTTACTTGATTGCTTGCTTGCAAATTTGATTTCACTTTACATCCCTGCATGTATCCTACCTACAGTGGGAAAACTCGATTATTACTTTTATTATCAGAAAATGAATAAAGATAAATATTCATCTATTCTGAGAAACAGGTTCTTTCTTGCCCTATCTAGCTATGCCTCCAACCTCTTATGACGGCAGAGGTGGCAATTCTTGGCTCATAGGAGGCGTTCGTGGTTAATTTTGCAGGGTTACCCACTTACCTCTCTCCAGTTCCCTCAGGGATTGGGCCCACCCCTAAGGCACATCCTCACCTCTCAGATTTCCCACACGTGAGCCTGGGCAGTTCCCTCAGAGCTTTCCTCTCCCCTGTACTGGGTTCCCTGCGTCCCTCTTCTGACCTTTCGTGCTCTTCTCCCACCTGGACAGGCTGCCTTCTTCCCTTGAGACTTGCTGCTCCTAGGCTTGGCTGGGACCACTTTCTGCTAGGTTACACATTCACACAAGTCACTGCCAGCCCTGCTGTGCTGATTCCTGCCCTCTTCTAACCGCCCTGGCCTCAAGTGCACGTAGGCTTTAGCACGAAACGACCAAGAAAGTTGGGTGGTGTTGCCAACTGGTTGGCTTGCTTCCCAGAGGTCCTAGTCAAGTTTTCATTCATTTATTTCTTGATAAGAGAAAGTGGTGTGTGTGTGTGTGTGTGTGTGTGTGTGTGTCCCCTTGGGGAAAGAAAAAGAAAGAAGAGTGGTTCTTTATCTATTATGGGGACAATTTCTCCTGGCTGTGAGTTCTAGAAAGTTGGGGAATTGTGATAGGAATGGTGATGGGGGGAAGTTTTTTCATGCTTGGGTTACCCTAAGTAACTTATTAAAATGGGGGCCTGGGTGGCGCTTTGCATTTTCCAACTAGAGCACCAGACTCATGATTCCACAGATGTTTTTATTTTGAAAAGCAAAACCACAGTGACTCAATTTAATGAAAACTATGAAGTAAATGATTGTGGAGAAATATGACAAACATTACAGAGGTGGTAACTGATACCTGGTACCCTCAGTTGGTATCAAGACAAACATTTGCACTGAGCTTACCTCTCATTCCCACGAAGGCGCTCAAGTCAGTCTTCCCTGTTCTCTTGGCTGTTTTCTCCTACAGATGGCCAGGACTACCCTCGAGTAGCCTACCATCAAGTGATCCAACCGGCTCTACCTGGGCAGCCCCTGCAGGGAGGCCCCCACCCTGTGCAGAAGATCATCCTGAACTATCCCAGCCCCTGGGACCAAGAAGAGAGGCCCACACAAAGAGACGCTTCCTCCCCAGAACCCCCGAGATATCAGTGAGTATTAGAAACCAACTTGCAGATAGTTTTGAAATGAAAAAGCATGCTGTCAGTGCAACCCAGGCTATAAAACTCTGTCGGCTTACTAACCAGGTTAGCGGCCACCTCACCCAGTGGAACGCTCCACACAGGCTTTTCAGGTCAAAAGGAAGCAGAGGCTGGCTGACAAGAATCTCTTTATCAGACACACAAAGCCACGGACGACTGTTGAAAAATTCTCTTGAAAAGAAAGGCTCCTAAGATGCTAAGTCACACTTGCTTCTTTTCCCTTCAGATCACCTGGCCTCTTCACCCACGAAATGACGTTCGGTTTTACGATGACTGACTTCCACCTCTAGGAAGTTCTTTTTCTCATCCCTAGTTTGTGTACCTGTGTAGCCCGTTTCTTACTTTGGAATTTTAAATTCAGTTAGTTCCCAATAGAAACGTAAACTAACTGATGATTTTCTTTTGTAACAAAAACAGTCGCACATGTTGAATGCCATGACTAGCTCTTTCCTGTATTTCTTCCAGAAAAAAAAAATAATTCCAGTTGTCTAGTCCTTCAAATCGTTCTTCTCCCAGCTGTTCTCTTTGGACTCTTCTTCAAGCTTTCCTTTCCTCTTAATTTATGCATCTAAAATATATAGGAAAAACTCATGTAAGTGGAGCTTCCTCCTTTATGACAAAATTAGAGAATAATGAAATTTTGCTCTGCTCAGCACTTTTTAAAAAAATATATTTTATTGATTTTTTTACAGAGAGGAAGGGAGAGGGATAGAGAATTAGAAACATCAATAAGAGAGAAACATCCATCAGCTGCCTCTTGCACACCTCCCACTGGGGATGTGCCCGAAACCAAGGTACATGCCCTTTACTGGAATTGAACCTGGGACCCTTCAGTCCGCAGGCTGACGCTCTATCCACTGAGCCAAACCGGTTTCGGCATCAGCACAACTTTTATATACCACTCAGAGTAAAAGTATATTCTGCTTTGAAAATAAAATGAGATACGATGGCAGTTTTTATCAGAAATATAGAAATTGGTAATTATCTAAAAAAGTTTATTGAAAGAAAAAAAAGCCCACCCTATTTATAATGACAGGTGAGGTACATGCCTGCTTCCCCCTTCACTCCAAAGCCCAGGAGCCTTTATATTTTTTTTCCAGACTGATCCCTTATTGTTAAATACAAAATTACATGGAGTTCAAATAATAGTTGTAAGGAAAATGTAAAATGTAGCTCTTAAAGCTACAAGCCCTCTGGCAGAAGAAATACCTAAAATTCTAAGGAAAACAAAATGTAAGCATCTTTATAAAACATATTTGGTGTTGATTAGGGGAAGTATAGTAATTTCTAAAATAAACATTTATTTTGAAATAATTTTAGATTTATAGAAGAATTGCAGATATAGCACAGAGTAATTGTTTTTGTAACATCATTCAATATAAGCCAGCTATGATCTCCTTGGATTTATTTTATCATTTTAGGGTAGCGGTTTTCAACCAGTGTGCCACACGAGTTCTTAAAACATGCACAATCTGACTAGTCAGGGGCACAGACTTCTTTTCCTTTATATTGTCAAATAAAACAACATCAACAGCTGAAACTGGTTTGGCTCAGTGGATAAAGCGTCAGCCTGTGGACTGAAAGGTCCCAGGTTTGATTCCTGTCAAGGGCATGTACCTGGGTTGCGGGCACATCCCTAGTAGGAGGTGTGCAAGAGGCAGCTGATTGATGTTTCTAACTCTCTATCCCTCTCTTTTCCTCTCTATAAAAAATCAATAAAATATATGTAAAAAAAAAAACAACATCAACAGCCAACACAATAATAGCTGTCCAGTGTGAATGAATCAAAATTATACTTTTTTTTTTTTGTCAGATCGCTGCAGAATGTTAGTAGTTAGTTTATGTGTGCCCTGAGATAGAAAGGATGTAATATTGCTGTTCTCGGGACATGGAACATAAGTCTAGGTAATGACGCTAATTCTCCTCTTCCTGATCATTTGAAAGAGAGCATTCATACAGAAAGTTTACTCTGTCATTATTCTTCATGATTTTGTTTTTATATTGAAGTTTTTTTTAATATTATCAAGGTCTTAAGATTTCTTTATCAAATGAGCATTTTTTGTCTTTTATAACAACCAAACAACTTTGGGCATGAAGGAATTTAATGCAAAAAGGTCATGGAATTAGATTCCCATTAGATGAAGGCATATTTTATAAGGATTTTTACTCTGGATAAATAAAAATAACTTACTCAAATAGTCATATTTTAGAAATATAGTATAGTTTGGATTTTGTGTCATTTTCTTTAAAATCCTATTGCACAAGTCTCTTGCATATTTTACTCGTTTAGGTAAAAATATGAATACAAGCAATAAGCCATATTTTTTTAAAAATGGCATATACACCTAGATTTTGTAATCAAAACAAAACATTTTTTAAAATATTTTTATTTTTATTTTTTAGAGAGAGGAAGAGAGAGGGATAGAGAGTTAGAAATACCAATGAGAAAGAACCATCGATCAGCTGCCTCTTGCACACCCCTCACTGGGAATGTGCCTGCAATCAAGGTACATGCCCTTGACCGGAATCAAACCTGGGATCTTTCAGTCTGCAGGCCAATGCGCTATCCACTGAGCCAGACCAGTTTTGGCAAAACAAAACATTTTTGAAATTATAAAATAATCTCAAACACAAAATAAATAGAAACGTATGTTGCCACTGCCTTGATTTTTAAAATGTTAACATTTGAATCAGAGCTTTTTTAAAGGGAAAAAACTTAGTCCCCTTATCAGTAAGGATTCAGTTACAGAAAGCAGAAAACAACTCTAGCAGTTTTAAGCAGAAGGGCTTTAACTTGGGAACTGGGTGCTTACAACATTATTGGAGGTTGAAGGAGCAAACTTTAGGTTGGGCTTCCAGGAATGATCCCAGACCAACATCGCGGAGCAGGACACCAAAGAGGCTGCTTCCGGTGTTAGGGTCGAAGAGGCAGAGAATCAGAAGATCACTGTGGAGCTCTCCATTCTCGGCCACCACACTGCACAGTACCATCCAGAACCAGGTAGCTGCCAGCACTGCAACTACTGATGCCTTCAGTGCCTGCTAGGTCTGCACTGGCCAAAACCGGATGCCCATATCCTGATCGTGACACTGCGAAGCACAAACCACAGAAGTAGCAGAAGCACGGCCTGCATTTCCTCTGCTTCCAAACCTCACAGGAGTGTGTCCGATGGTTCTTCCCAGCAGAATGTTGGTGGGAATATTGGCAACCAAAACCAAGTGGTAGAGACTTTCTGAAAAGATCTTTAGTATCAGATTTTCATCCCTATGTTAACAACATTAGTACTTTTAAAGCTACAAGGCCTTTTCTACTTTTTGATATGTGATCAGATGTTATCCATCATTCGTAGCCTGGTGCACAAAATTTGTGCACGGTGGGGGAGGAAGGGTGTGTGTCCCTCAGCCCAGCCTGCATCCTCTCCAATCTGGGGCCCCTCGAGGGATGTCCGACTGCCCATTTAGGCCTGATCACACTTGGGCTTAAATAGGCAGTCGGTCATCCTTCTCACAATCCAGGACTGTTGGCTCCCAACCGCTTGCCTGCCTGCCTGATTGCCCCTAACCGCTTTTGCCTGCCAGTCTGATCACCCCTAAACACTCCCCTGCCAGCCTGATCCATGCTTAACTCTCCCCTGCTGGCCCAATTGCCCCTAACTGCCCTCCCTACAAACATGGTCACCCCCAAATGCACTCCCCTGAAGGCCTGGTTGCCCCCAACTGCCCTCCTCTGCTGGCCTGGTCGCCTCCAACTGCCCTCCCCTGCTGACCATCTTGTGGCAGCCATCTGTCCACATAGGGGCGGCCATCTTGTGTTTTGGAGTGATGGTCAATTTGCATATTACCTCTTCATTATATAGGATGAGCTAAAAGTTCTTTTTATCAGAATGCCTATAACACCAAACTTGTACCACCCAATATATTATGTTTTATTGGTGACCTTATCAGCCCTGTGCATGAGACTCATCTTCCCAATTAGACAGTCCTTTAATAGAGAAATCAAATTCTGCTTCCCTCATGTGACTCCTAGCACAGGCCCTTACATATGGCAACCTGCCTTATAGCTTATTGACCGAGCAACCCTTGTCCCTCTGGCTCAGAAAAGAAATGGAAGCAGAGGAGAAAGATAGCTCACTGGTATCTTCCCACGGTTCTTAAAGCCTTCCTGTTCCTCAAGGTGCGCTTTCGTTGAAAATGAAAATTTTATTATTGTACATGTATTCCTGTCCAGGGACCAGCCTTATAACCAGCCACCGAAACGAGCTGGAGCTGCTGAGGAGTCCTTGGAGTGTCCTGCCGAGTTGAGACCCCAGGGTCCCCAAGCTCCGTCTCCAGCTGCTGTCCCTAGACCCCCTAGTAACCCTCCAGCCAGAGGAACTCTGAAAATAAGCAATTTACCCGAAGAATTACGTAAGTTGTTTGCAATGGTTTCTCCTCCTCATCATTATTCTCCCCCTCCTCCTTCTTATCTTTTCTTAAACTTTGAAAATACTTCATGATTATTCATCCATTATCTTGGATATTTCTCAGGTAAATAAAATTTACTTTTTGCTTAAAAGGTAACCAACATTTTGTATGCATTTGTTTGATGATTTGCACACTACCAGCGATACAAAGTGCTTATCACTAGATTTTCTTAACCATACACTCCAACAACAAATAACCCCAATGTTTTTTCCCTCTTCCAAATGATGCTCTTGAGTGGACTTGTCCCTGGGAAAGTTGATTTGATGTCCATGTGGCATTGGCCAGGAACCTAGCTTCTCCCCATAAATTAGCAGCGGCCATCGAGAACAAGGCCATTTCCTACAGGAGTGAGCAGTCTTGTCGGGGGAAAAGGCAGCCTCACATTCCCCATGCTGCCTGACAACCAAATGCAAACTAAGCCCTTTCTTAAAGAAATATTCGACTGCGTGTCAGGTGATCGTTCTTTTTCCACATTTTTCAGTCAGAAACTAACACGTTGAAATATCACCAAAATGTTCTCATACTAATGTCAGTCAGGACAGCAAGTTCCACAAATCTTAGGAAAGCAGCCACTCGGGTAAGTCTGGGAAGTCGTGTCTAAATCTAGGCACTTTTTGGAACCAAGGCTGAAAATATGATAAGCTTTTTGCATTCACTAATTCCTATGGGGAATCTATGCTCTTCAGTCCTTTAGGAGTTGAACAATCTTGAATACAATGATCCATTGTTGTCTTTCACTCAAAAAACATCTTAATCTCCTTAAAGCCTTACACATTATACTTTTGAGCATTTCTGGAGCATGGATGCTACCCTGCATAGGATATAGGCCTGGCGTCAGTCTACAGCTCATATTTATTTTACCATAATCCGTAAAGGGAGTCTTAAAATTATTATAGTGGGATTGGTTGAATATGAAAAGACTCTGATTTTCTCTCCAGCTCCACCTTCTTCTCCACCCTCTGCCCCAGAGGCTTCCTGAGATTGAGCGGGTTCATTCCAGACTGGAAACCAACACAGAGAGATTGTTCATCTGTCATATTAACGTGCTAGCCGGATGATTTCCCCAAGGCGTGAGCCTGAGAAAACACTGGTTCTCACGCCGCCTGGGTCAAGTGTGTAGGCACAATACTGTCTGACGCCCTCGGCTGACCGAGAGCTGGACCGCCCAGAGGCAGTGACTTTCCTTCAAGCTACTGAGATGTTCCTAACATTTCTGAGTTGTGCTTTAGTCTACTCCAACCTCCTGGAGGAAGGAGGGTAGGGAACATTTTCCCTCTCCCCTCCCTTGCTCTTGTCAAGCAAGAGTTGAAGGCAGCAGAGAGCATCATGAGATCAAAGGAGGACACCACAGGGTGGCCCCTTAGCAAGGCTCAGCTTCTTGGCCTGCTGTGAGAGTATTCCTCAGGCACAGGGCCAAGTGTCTCTAAGAAACCAGGCGGTGCCCTGACTTTAAGGACGTGCAGGTTCTGAGTGGCGGATTTTCTGTGAATGCAGCATGTGGTTTTTCAAAGACCTCCTCGGCGTGTCTCAGCCTGCTCACTCTCTCCCCTGTGCCTCTGCTTTCCACGCACCCCGAGCAGTGTGCCCGCCCTGGGACAGCCCCCCTGCTTCTTCGGGCCTGAGGGTCTATGTCCTGAGGACAGCAGTCCGCACTGCGCAGGCACAGACCTGAGAACAACCCCCAGCCAGAGGTTTCCCTCCATTATCCTAGAAGAACAAAAGACGTTGCATACTATTTACGTGTACTGTTCAAAATATATACTTATGATTACTTGACTGGTTTCTAATAAATGTGAAAAATCTCTCTTAGGGAAAGTGTTTATCACTTATTCTGTGGACTCGGCCATGGAGGTGGTGAAATTCGTGAACTTTCTGCTGGTCAATGGCTTCCAAACTGCAGTAAGTATTGTATCCAAAGAGAAGAGTGAGCCATTGAAGTGAGCACAGGAAAAGAAAAACACAAAAGGAGACAAGTGATAAATAGCTGCCGATGTTTTAAACTAAATTATTTGATTTGCGTGACTATGAACTACATGCCTATGAATTTTTAGCTAATTATTTTCTGGATTTTAAAGGCTCCAGCATGTTTTCCCTGCCAGAGCCTCCCAACAGCCCGAAGGGGGTTAATGCCGAGCCCGGACGCGGCTGACCCCTGGCCCGAAGGAAACGCCAGCCTCCGGCTGCACTTTGTACCTTTGCCCTTTTTCACCCGCTCTGGCGGTGCTTCCTGTGGCAGGAGGCTGCAGGCTTCCCCCCCCCTTCCCCCCCCCCCTCCCGCTTACTTCCCAAGGTCCTTTGTTGCGCTGGGGGTTTGAGGCAGAAGCCTGCAGCTTGCGCCCCCCTCCCCCGCCGGGCACAGCTGCCATTCACACCCCATGCAGCAGCGATGCTCCTACCGCATCGCAGGGTCAAGTTCTTGGCTGGTCTGGTGCTGAGGGAGGGAGACAGCCCAGCCCTGCGGTCCGCTGTGATCTTGGCCCGAGAAATCTCAGGAAGCACGCGCTCCTCACGCCCCCGTAGCGCCTTGCCTCCGCTTCAAGCCCTGTACGCTTTCCTTGACAGTAAATTAAACGTCACAGGAGCCTGCGAGGACGGCTGGCTTTCCTCGGACACCCAGGCCTGCTCTGGGTGTTCAGTGACAGTGAATTCTGAGAGAGTGGCCCAAAATTAAGGGAAATGTCTAAGGATAGGAAGGTTGACGGATAAAGAGGGAATTCTTAGTAAATAAAGATGTCCATTTGAAAGGTGATCTGACATCATTTAACAAGACTTGTCACTTGAATTTCTTCTTTATCCTGTGATTTTTTAAAAAACAGAAGTGTTTGAAAGTTTAAAAAAAAAAAAAAAACTTAGAATGTATACACTCCAACTCCATGACTATATTAGAGACCAGCATTTCCATTTCTAATTTCTGGAATAAGCAAGTGCTGTGGCGACCGTGGCATAAAGTCAAATTACAGGACGTAAGACCAACATGTCAGAAAAGATCTTTCTTACTTTCGGTCATTTCCAAATAAGCATACTGATCGCCCTGGGAGAATAGGACAGGTTTTTGGGTCCTAAACAACCAGGGGCTGCTGAGCAGAATTTAAATCTCTCCTTGACCTCACCTCTGCGAAGCCCTGTGGTAGAACCACAGAGCCCAGTCCTGGCGGCTCACTACGAGTTGATACATTAAGACCTCCTCAGTGGTGAGAAGACTTCATGGGTAATTTAAGGAGAGTTTTTTTGTTGTTTTTTTAAGAGACTGACTTCAAAGCTCTGTGTAAGTTCAGGGAATATCCTGGGATAAGCAATAGCAAGGAGTTGCTACCACCATAGGTCTAAAGAGGCGAGGAGCAGTGGTTACAGCAACCTGAGAAAGCGTGGCTGTATCGGTTTGCCAGGGTTGCTTTAGGGAAAGTACCACAGCCTGGGAGGCTGAGACAACAAAAATTCACTTCCTCACAGTTCTGGAGGCTGGACGTTCAAGCTCAGGGTGTCGGCAGGATTGATTTCATGCTGGGGCTTCTGCCTTGGCTGGTAGTGGCCATCTCCTTCTGTCTTTCCTCTGTGTCCTACTCTCCTCCCGTAAGGACGCCAATCATATTGGACCAGCGACCACCCAGATGACCTCATTTACATTATTTACCTCGTCAAAACCCCTGTCTCCAAACACATTCACACTCCAAGGCACTAGGGGTTAAGACCTCAACATGATTGTGGGGGAGGAGAGGGCAATTTGGCCCATAACAGCGGCCATGTGGAGAAGTTGGCCTGACAAAGCTGTGGGCTTTGGCAGAGATCTGGAGAGACAAATGGAAGCTAGCCAGTACATTGTGCCTCCTGGAATGTCCAGCTCACAGCAGGGAATAATTTAGGTGCTGGGATCATCATCATCAGAAGCCAAGTTGTCCGTCTATTCTCAGCCCCAGCATTATGGGGCTTCTGTCTGGTAGAATAGACATGGGTTACTGACACAGTCACAGAGAGTTACAAAAGCTTTCTCAAGATTACTTGATATAAGTCATTGCACATCAGACATTTGAAAGCAGCAAATGATCATTTTTAATGTGCCATCAGGAAAGAAACATATTCTGAGCTCGCATTCTGTGCCATATGTATCTGCCAGTTTGGTGAACATGAAGCCTTATCTCGTTCTAGGAAGCTGGGGACCAGGTTGAAGAGATCAGGCAGACATAAATGAGACATTTAGTAAATGAAAGGATGTTACAATAACGTGCTGTGTCACAATGGGGTAGAATTTGGTGAGGTGAGGAGGAGGAGGAGGAAGTGGGTGTGTGGAGAGGACTCGGAGCAGGGGGCTGGCACTGTGCTTTTGGGTGCAGTGCCGGGGCAGCAATGGGGAGGAAAGTAGGCAGGCATGTGAGGAGGAGAGAGGTGAGATTAGATTGTAGATGCCATGGACAGCTTGCTGACCCCATCAGTCCTAAATAGTGGAATGACATTTAAGACAACTGATCTGGGGGCAAGTGGTGTGGCGGGATCAACTAACACCTCCTCAGGACACTGTCCCTGAGTCACCCATTCCAGCGCCTAATCCTCCTTGTGAGTAAGAGCGCCTTGTACACACTCACTGCCCTCTGGCTGCAGGACAGGTCTGAGCCCAAGAACGGCCTTACATTCGGGCTTCGGGAAAACAGAAAACAACTGACTGTTCTCCCCTTCCAGTACTCCTTCAGAGACTCCATATGTCTTTTCAAAGCCCAAGAGGTCTACTTATTGGTTTTCATCATTATATATATATATATATATATATATATATATATATATATATATATATATATATATAGTATATAGTTGGTTTGTATATTATTGGCTTACTTCCAACTTGTTGCCTATGTCTCTCAGGTTTTTAAAACATAATTATTGTGTAGGCAAAGACACATTTTGATGCATGCCTATCTATCCTAATTATGGCTATTAAATAGTTCAGTGCCTACTAATGTTGAAATAGGGACCATTATTTTTAAATTGTATTTTCTTTAGCCTCACATGCTCCTCCCTGCAAAGAAAGCATTAGTAACTTTTTCCATTTTAAATGCCTATGGTCTCCTGTTTCCTCTTGCTGTGCATCCAGATAAAGCTTCTCATTAAGAGCCGCTTCCCACATCTTTCCCCACAGATTGACATTTTTGAGGACAGAATCCGCGGCATTGATATCATAAAGTGGATGGAACGCTACCTTAGAGATGTAAGTACATTTCGAAATCCCGAGTTTGTTTTCTGGTAAGAGAGACAATCAGCTTGTGAGGTTATTTTGTGGGAGACGCTCTGGCACACCCACCACGTCCAAAGCCGAGGGAGTCCCAACAAAGCCTCCCTGGTTGGCAGCCGTGGAGAGGAAGGATGGGGTCGCCCTCCTGGGCAGGCTCAGGCAGGAAATAACAGTCCACCAGGCACAGGTGGTTGATAACCATCAGAACAAACAATTTTCTGACCAGCATAGGGAAGGGGGAAATGAAGGCGGGAGTGGGGAGGGAGAGGCAGAATTCCATTCACTCCCAAGACCACCCCATGTGTGGTATAGGACTGGGCTGAAGAGCGTTCCTGGCATTTTGTGCTTCAACAAGATGGAAATGGATTGCTGCCGGCGTGTCCCTGTGGGCGCGTTAGCTGCTGCGTTGTGGGGGAGAGCGGGTGGGGAGGGTCTCGGCAGGCTGGGGGTTTGGGCTTTTCCTTTTGTGTGCAGCCTGGCGGCGTCTGCTTTGTCCTCCTGCCATTGGCCCTGCCACCAGCAGGGCAGTGAGGGCGCAGTCAGTGGCAGCTTTGATCGGCTGGGGGAGGCAGGGGTTGGGAGGGAGGGGATTTCATCGTTGGGACTGCAGCCTTTCCACCGAGATGCAGATCGCTTAGTGGTCCCGGCTTTCATTAGCCACGGATTAGTGACGGCTGTGGAAATGGTGGGCAGAGCCGCATCCATTTAGGAGAGCGCCACGCAGAGTGTGTGAAGGGAGTGGGGGAGGGGGGGAGGCAGAGGGGAGCAGGGGAGAGGGCAGTCAGTCTGCCTGAGGGGGGTGGGGAGCAGTGCTTTCACTGAGAATGAGCCCAGCCCTCCACCCCCCACTGTATGCCAGACCAGCACACAGCCCTGCTGGCCGGGCTCCAGCCTGCCTTCACCAAATGGACCGCACTTCACACTTCCGTAAACATGCCTTCTCCCTCTCATTAACAGAAGACAGTGATGATAATCGTAGCAATCAGCCCCAAATACAAACAGGATGTGGAAGGCGCCGAGTCGCAGCTGGACGAGGATGAGCACGGCTTACATACTAAGTACATCCACCGCATGGTGAGTGGCGGCGGCCGGCAGCCCCTCGCCGGTGCTAGGAAGGCCTGTCCCTCACTAGAGACCAAGCAAAGGCACTTGATGCCGCTGAAGGAGAATGGGGGGCTGGCTGCTACCTGGGAGGCCTTGGGCAGTTCAGCACACCTCTGAGACTCAGTGCCCTTGTCAGCAGCAAGGGCAGAGGAATCCGTGACCTAAGAGTCTGGAAACAGAGCTCTGCTGGTTTGCTTGTTTACTGAGTGTGAAGGCCTAGGAGGGTCGGCAGGCGGGCCTGGGGAGCGGGGCTCCTGGGTGGTGTCCTGTCCTGTCCCAGCCTTTTCCCAGAGGCAGAGCATCCTGGCGAAAAGGACTCGTGCCGTTGGTTCAGAATCAGCTTCCCCACGTGTAGGCTGTGTGTCCCTGGGCCCACTGCGTAAACCTCTGTGTGCTCCGTGTCTCTGTGCTTCACAGCTCATGAACGATGGGGCCTGGTCAGACCAAAACGGAGGGAGACATTTGTAGGGAGTTAGACTTACTCAGCATCTGATGGAACGTTCTGGCGAAAAGAATACCCAGCTTTAGAGCTGGCTGTTGTATGGGCTGGCAGTCTTCCTGCTTTCGGCAGTGAGACATGCTGTGCAGACAGTCACTTTTGACCAGGATGTCAGAGGCTCCCTACTGGGCGCTCGTATGTGCTGGGGGTGTGGGTGTTCTAGGCCTCTCACCCCACCTCAGTCAAAGCTTGTCTGCCTTTCTCAGTCAGGCGTTTGCTGACCAAAGATTCTGAGGTTTAAAAAGGCTTGAAGGTCACTGAACTAGAACCTGTAAGCCCCGTCTGAGCCCTAACATTCCCAGGGGGCAGGCACCCGGAACGGGCACGGACGAGGCCAGGAGGATGGGCGGGAAGCAGAGTGGTCCCGATGGAGGGGGTGAGCAGCACAAGGCAGGAGGCAGGCAGGCAGGCCGGCCGGGGCCTTGCAGCTTTACCTCTGGGGACGCTGACTTAAACCAGGTCTGTCCTGCGGGTCAGGAGCACAGGAAAAGGCAGGGGAGGTGGGTGCTCCCTCCTGGGTGCTCAGGGTCTCTATCTCCTCTTCTGCCAAGTGCCAGCCACTTAATGTGAGCTCAGAGCCAACCCAAAGTGAACACCAAGCTGAAACCGGTTTGGCTCAGTGGATAGAGCATTAGCCTGCGGACTGAAAGGTCCCGGGTTCGATTCCGGTCAAGGGCATGTATAATACCTTGGTTGCGGGCACATTCCCAGTAGGGGGTGTGCAAGAGGCAGCTGATCAGTGTTTCTCTCTCCTCGATGTTTCTAACTCTCTATCCCTCTCTCTTCCTCTCTGTCAAAAATCAATAAAATATATATTAAAAAAAAAAAAAAAGTGAACGCCTAGGCAAGGTGGTGCGGCCACAGGGTACGGCCGAGGAGGCAGGGGACCCGTCTCCCTCCTGTTCCGCTCTCTCCTGGTCCGACAGCCCGCGGGCAGGGCCCAGAGAAGTATCGTTTCTGCCCTGAAAGGTCACGGCTGGCCTGGGAGCTGCCACCCCGTGGCTGTGACCTGAAAGCGCTCAGCGACCTGTCTGCGGGTCTGGGAACCGGCCGTCCCGAGCGGACAGCTGGGTGTGGGCAGGACTCCAGGTCCCGCCTGGTCCTGAGGAAACCCGTGGAGCTCTGCGGGAGCGGGACAGTGCCGGGCAGGGACACGGCTCGGCCCGGGGCTGGCTTGACTGTGCCTGGCTGGGAGCCAGATTATCTCACACCCAGAGCCCTGGGGCAACCATGTCCTGGGCTCTCCCTCATCAGGGAAGGGGCTGAAGAGGCCAGAGGCAGACGTGCCTTCTGCCCGCCTGGCAGCCTGCCTGGTCCCCTCCAGGCAGCAGCAGACTCGCGGACAGAGGGTGTGACGAGGTGCCCGGAGGGGCTGAGTCCTAGAGCCAGGACTGCACACAAAGCCAGTGTCTGGAAACATGGGCGAAAAACACGCACTCCGGCCCGGGGCCCCTGCACAGGCGGAGCAGGTAGTGAACAAGTTTGTAGTGCCCAGCATCCTGGAAGTCAGAAACTGCCTCCAGTGCTTAGCTTTTACCTAGTAAACCAGTGTTTCCCAAAGTGTGGTACGCGCACCCCCAGGGGCACGGGAGGAGTTTGGTGGGGGTACGAGTTGCACCAGAGTTTGGTGGGGATATGCACTGCCCCGTGCTTAGCTGCGCCTAATTCTACGTTCTCATGAGCACGAGGGGTACTCCAGCGTTACGAAAATTATAGAAGGGGTACACATATGTCAAAAGTTTGGGAAACAAAATGTGTAATAAAACCATGCCCTTCCTCTCACGTGTTGGCACTAATGTGGCTGGTGCTTTGAGTGGCACAATGCTTTCGTCACTTTAAAACATGCTTTTGGCGTGTCTGACTCTCAAGGGGAGGCGGTTCTGAGAAAACGCCTTGTGGATGACCTGTGTGTTGTACGACTGGGCGTGTATGCAAATAAGCGTGAGTGTGGATGGGTGTGCAAAGGTTTAGGAGGGCTTTCTTTGGTGAATTCAGTAACAAGTCATCACCACTGACACGTCCCTCTTGGTTCTGTTTTTATTCCACGCACAACCAAGACTCCTCGTAATAAAAATCAATTGGAAGATGAAATAGTTGGGAAGCATAATTCCTCTTCTTGTCACCAGAAGCCCACGTACCTGGTGCTGGTCGCAGGATTTGGAAGACTCTGTCTCCCCTCAGATTGAAAATCCCGGTTTTGACGGAGCTCTGGCAGCTAAAGCTCCTGGGGCCACCGCAGTGTCAGAGCAAATTGGAACTGGTGTGGGAAGCCGAGGGCTTGGAAGTCAGACCTCTTCACAGCCGACCCCCCGTCCTGCCTTCCTCCTCCTCCACGTCCGTCCTGTGCTCTAGCTGCAGGGCACTGCCTGCTGGTCCCAACCCACCAACTATTCACTCAGGCTCTTTTCTGTGCTGAGAACGTCCTTCCCCTCTCCGCCTGCCTGACCACATTCTTCTTCCAGTATCCAAATGACACCTCCCTTGTAAATGTCCTTGTAACTGATGCAGAAAGGATGGGCCCCATCTGGGGCTTCCACAGCCGTTTTTTCACACTGCACTGTGGTTGGTAATGTACCTTTCTGACTGCTCACAAAACTGCTGACTTTGTGCAGATAGGGTTTGTTTGTATCAGTGATATTCTGGCAAACCGGTTCACCCTTATCCCCCTTCCCCCCAAACCCTGGTTCATAGCATCTTTCCATTCCTGTGGTATACCTGCTCTCGCGATGGCCAATTTCAGGCTACCGATGTGAAGTCACTGGACACAGAACTGGGAAGAGGCACACATCTGGCTTTTGCGAGCTGACGCCACCCAGCTCAGCAGACCCTAATCTTAATCCTAATCCTTAAAACACCAAGTCCAGCACAGAGCGTGGCATTGATTAGGCCTTTAATAAGTGATGGGTGGATGAGTAGATGGCATAGATGTGTAATGGGGAGAGCTTCAAACTGTAAGGGTGAGGCACTCAAGGAAATCGGAATAAAGGCACTGAGTGGGCTCGCATGACTGTGGGTACCGTACATTAACTCCTCATCCTTGTTCCTGACATGAAACCTTGAATTTGTTCTCTTCCAGATGCAGATCGAGTTCATAAAACAAGGAAGTATGAATTTCAGATTCATCCCTGTGCTCTTCCCAAATGCTAAGAAGGTAAACAACAAACAAACAAAAGAAAGCTCTCAGAATTCAAACTTTGCTTTATTTGCTATCTGGGATTTTAAGTGGAAAAATCTAGTCAACCCTCTAACTCCTTAGAGAGAACAGTGTGAGAAAGATCAACAAGTTGCCCCACTCAGTTCGGCCCCAGTTCAGCGGCATGAATAGAATGTTATCTGATAGACCATCTCTGTCCTAATTGTTCCAGCAGCTATTACACACAAAGAGGTAGTTTGTGTTTTAACTCATGAGCCAAAAAGAGACTGTTCATCTGATACTTCTTATCTCTTGTACATAAAAGTCAAGATGTGTACTTTTGAGCTGGCTGTTCCTCGGAAGTATTTTGCGGCACATAGTTCAGCTCTCAGAGCTGTAGAATACAGGAGTTAAATCTGCACAGTCATCAAAGTGAACTTTGCTGTGGTTCATAGGAGGGTTCCTGCACCAGAAGGGCTTGCTAGCAGGTTTTGGGGGATGGGGGCAAAAACACGCCTGAGGCCATGCCTGGGCACAGGGAAGGCAGGGAGGTAGGAAAGTCTTCAAAGTGAGACTGCTGCGCCCTGAGCTCAGGCCCAGCTGCACCCTGGAGGACTCCTAGATGTCAGGGCTGCATGGAGACTTCCGGGTGAGGGAGGGTCCGGTTTGTGTGACTGGGAGCCCAGGGCTGCACAGTTCACAGACCACACAATAAATAGCCTGCTTTTCTGCCCCTTGCCCAGGCTCTCACTGCTCGCACTGCAAGGTCTCCTTGCTGGTCTCCCTGTCTCTCTACTTGGGCCCTGTATTAGCCATCCTCTGCTCTGCCGTCAGAGAGGGACATCCAGAATGAAGATCTGATCTCTCTCCAGCTCAGAAATTCATAGTGGATTCCTGCAGACTACAAGATCATCTCCACCTTTCTTAGCACGACGTGCAAGGCCCCTTCGACATGCCTGTGACCAACCTTCCCGGTCACCACGTGCAGATGATTCTGTGCTTGGGTCAAACTGGACTCTTTCAGCATGCCCTTACACGCACATATGCTTTCGTTTTCTGTGCCTTTGCACTTTCTGTTCCCTTTACTGGCAGTGCCCTTCCCTGACTTGTCTGTCTGGTAAACTCTTGCTTCTCCTCACGTTACCCAGTCTCTAGCCTCTCCTGACCCCTCTCCCCCTGCACTGACCTTGATGCAGTGGTGTGTGGCTGGGGCAAAGGCACTGGGAGTAATTGTTTGGAATTACTGGAGCAGGCTGATAGAAAAAGCTGACCAACTTTCAGCTGGTTTTATTCGTGTTTTTAAAACTTCTTCAAACAATCCCTCAGGGCAGATTGCTCCCACCACCTGGCCCCTGGGTATGCCATTGCCTAGAAAACAGTTTCTTTTTCTTTATACTTTGACTCCCTTATACGACTAACAACTCTTCAAGGCAGTCCCTGTGTCTTTTTCACTTGGGGGTCATCCGTAACCAGCATGATGCCTGACACACGCAGGTGCTGCTTCTAAGCTCATCCTGCAGTCCCCACAGGCTCAGAGAGAGAGAAAAAAAAAGAAGAAAAAAAAAAAAAGCAACCTGCAAGGCTCTCTGTGAAACGGCCCCTCACCTTCTCTCTCTCGCTCTTCTCCAGCCACACTGAGTGGCTCCTTGCACCAGCCAGGCGCACTCCTCTGTCCGCCTGGACTCGGGTTTCTGTAAAGTTTGCTCCCTCCGCTCTTTCCTTTTCTTTCTTTTTTTTTTAAAAAAAGATATATTTTATTGATTTTTTTACAGAGAGGAGGAGAGAGGGATAGAGAGCTAGGAACATCGATGAGAGATAAACATCGACCAGCTGCCTTCTGCACACCCCCCACCGGGAATGTGACCGCAACCAAGGTACATGCCCTTGACCGGAATCGAACCCGGGACCTTCCAGTCCGCAGGCTGATGCTCTATCCACTGAGCCAAACCGGTTTCGGCCCTCCGCTGTTTTCTAAACCCCCGGTTTAAAACTGCAAACCACTCTTCCTGGCCCAGCACTGCCTATCCCCTTTCTCTGTTTTATTTCTCTCTACAGCATGTATCCCGATTGAGCACACGAGTTGTTTCTACGTATTCGGTATCTGTCTTTCCCCAGCTGAATGCCCACTCCATGAGGGTAGTCTGAAATTGCACCCCACCATCCCCGGCTCGTGGCTTGTGCCTTTGCCTGCTCACGGAGGTCTGCTGGGCTCCTTGGACGGCAGGCCAGGCCTGTGGCCGGACTGAAAGGATAATGGATTAGATTAAGCCTTGGCATACTTCTTACAGAATCACCGGGGAATTCGCATCACTCTGCGTGACCTCGGTCCTACCCCTTTCATGTGAGGGTGGTGAAAAGCACATTGCAATGCAGAGGGCAGGTAGCCTGGAGACTGACAGAAAATGCTGCGCACATGTGGTTTCCATAACGAGATATACAGCTTGCACCCGAAGCCAAGACCACGTCACATGCTAACCCCTTCCAAAAGCAAAACACTCAGCTCCCAGGATGGTTTGGTAGAAAATGCTCCAGAAGGGAAAGCCGTAGCTGTTTGGGAACCGAGCCAGGGATCTGGAACCCAGGTTTTTCTCTAACGGCCTTTGCTCCTGTCATTCTCTCTCCATAGGAGCATGTGCCCACCTGGCTACAGAACACTCACGTCTACAGCTGGCCCAAGAATAAGAAAAACATCCTGCTGCGGCTGCTCAGAGAGGAAGAGTACGTGGCTCCCCCCCGGGGGCCTCTGCCCACGCTGCAGGTGGTACCCTTGTGACACCCCAGCCCAGGCTCCCCGGGGCCAGGCCACATCTGGACGTGGTTCTGGCTGGCACTCTTCTAGCCGAGGCTGGCTGGCAGCATTCACAGCTGTTTGTTTTCAGTCCCCTCCTCAGGGGCTCTCCAACCCCAGAAAGCCTGTTCTGCAGCCTATTCTTCCCCCTAGACCCCCACAGACCCTGTCTTTGGAATGGAAGGAGGCTGCCTGCTCTGCATTCCCTGCTTCTTCTCCCAACTGCCTGTTCCTCCGAACAGTCTGACTTGTCCCTTCTGGGCTTCTCACTGCTTAGCAAGGAGATCATAGAAGTGACCACAAGCAAGTGACCACAGACACTCTCCCATTGCTTATGGCTACTTTTATGGGTGAGCCAGATGCTTGTGTGGCCTCGGACCAAAAGAATTCATGTACAAATAATAAAGCGTTTACTCTTGTAACACTGTATTTTCTTTATTTCAAAGAAGATATATATATTAACTTATAATAATATGGGCAGCTGCTTCCAGGAACAACAATAAAGCTTCTTAGATATAATATTAGACAGATGTAACAGACTACTTTATATTAAAAGATTCAAGCCAGATAAACAATGCCTTTAACATAGTATTCTGAAAACTTTATTCTTGCCATAGAACTTTTAAACAAAACAAAACAACGTTATACTACACATGACCATGATTCTAATAGAATCATAGTTCTTAGGGTTTTAATATGTATGTAAAAATATTTGTGTGTTATATGAAGTGAGAGGGGGTGTACAGTGCAGGCTAGAATTGGGATTTGGGAGACATGTTCCAATCTCGGTGCTATCACGAACTAGCTGTGTGACCTTAAGCAAGTCCTTTCACTTTTCTGAAACTCTGGGGATTCATTTATAAAGTACATGGACAAAACAGTATCTCTAATGATCCTAAAAGGTTTAAAGTCTAGGACCTAAATTCTAAATACTCTGTTCAGAAATAACTAAGTTTTCATTTTCATAATCATATCTCCCAGGGGGTGAAATTACTTGTTCTTAAGAGAGACATTTTCTTATTTTTCTTCAATAATATCCTCACATTCATAATTTTAGTCAAAAATATATATATTGTTCCTTTTGTCTACAAAAAAAATGAATAAACAAAATATATGTTCTATATAGAACAAGATGGAATGACTTTAATAATGGCCCAAGATGAATAATCCAATATGTAGACTTTTCAGCTATTTCTTCCCTTAACTGTCTGCCTAACTTCTTAAACTATGAGATAGTTCAACCTCTGTGTCACCATAGCAAAAACAATACTTATCAACTATAAATAAGGAACTTTGCTAATGAAATGCAAAAAACACTACTAGTTTTATTTACATTATAACCTTGATGTCTACTGAGTAAGATTAATGTCTTTATGTTTGTGGGGTTTTTTAAAGGATAAGAAAAGCTAGCATACCTTAAATACTCATTTGTAAGACTCAATGACAAATACCTTCATTTGAGACCTAGTAGAACTGACTTACTTGGGTTGGGGTGTTTTTGTTTTACTTTGTTTTAAATATGTTTTTTATTGATTTTAGGGAGGAGAGAGAGAAACATTGATAGGTTGCCTCAGGAATCCAACCAACTGCTTTTTGGTGCACGTGACAATGCTCAACCAACAGCCATACTGGCCAGGTGACTTACTTGTTTGGTTAACTCCAAATATGTAAAACACCCAGCCATAATCTTCAAGTCTTCTTTCTCTTTGTTATCTTTTTTTTGCCCAGGCTGGGTAGCATCCTAAAGGATTATACATAGTTATAAATACTAGTAGAATGGCATCAGCAATTAGTACTCTGAAATGTTTTTAGTTAGCAAAGTTTAATAATGTGATGTTATTAGTCCTTCCTCCCTTCAGAGACCAGTCCTGAGTGCTCAGCCACTATTCCTACCCCAGGTGAATGAAGAGGGAAGGTCCCTGGTGTTCCACAAATAGTCATTAAACTGTCGCAGCTGGTTGCACTGGAAGCAAAAAAAGAAAAAACAAAAAGCATGTGTGTGTGTGCGCGCACACACACACACACACACACACACACAACACCTGGTCAAGTGACGAAAGTTTGACCCCTGCAGTTTCTATGCAGTCTGATGACCACAAACATCAAAAGAATTTTAACCACAATTTTCGAGCACTGGCACTAAGATTAACACTTGATTTGTTTAGACATTACCCTGGTCTTTTTGCATTCATCTGTAGACGTTTGGGGGGTCGAGATGGGTTATGGCTGACTCTGTAGAAATAATCCCTTAGCTTTATTCAGACCTACACTGACGTTAGGGATGAAGTGTGCAGAATGAAAGGTTCGGTTCCTATCTAATATTGACTAACAAAATTTAAAATATGATTTTTAATTTCAGTGACTAATTTCAAAATGTCTGCCTGTTTAATTTAACTTCTATGTTGTTCAAAGACATCTCGGTTCACGGCGACACAATCAGACTAGCTATTTCTCAGCTCAGTACTCAGAAAAAATTACTATAGTGGCTGAACATTTCCTTTTTTCCTATTAAACAAATCTCTGTTTTGAGCATTTCAGACATTGTTTCATGATGCCTTGCCAAGCATTCTTCTTAACCTAAGCTATTCCATCAACCACCTCATCCGCTTTGCCAAACACCCCATTGTCACCATCACCTTTGCCAGTGGATTACAAAGTCCTATGATCATTGGGAAATGATCCAGAAAGAGTCTCTCAAAACACAGGATCTTTCTGTTTCTTCTTAATGAGCCAAGAAGAATCAGTGAGACCCACCTCCTAGGGGCAACTGAAAGGACGAGAAAGGTTAGAGTGTGGGAAAATTTCACAAAATAGAAATGCTGCTCATCCTGAAGAATTATGCACTATATTTCAAAATAGCTGGCTCTCTATGGACCCACAGACCAAATTAACAAAAACCCAGGCAGGAAGAAAGAAAATGCCAAAGTCACAGAAATCTGAAAGGCCAGAGCAGCATAGGAACTAAAGACACTTGTCACCACACATAAGTGGACAGAGGAAGAATCCACCAAACACCATAAATAGCCAAAGTAATGAGGCAGCTCAGGAAGAAAATAAAAAAATCTCCAGAAAATAAACTTTTAAAGACATGGAAATGTGTGATTTGAATGACAGAATTCAAGATGGCAGTTCTGAAAACAAACAAACAAAAAAACCCCCTCTAAGTTACAATACAAGAAAGAGGCAGTTTGATGAACTCAGAAATAAAAACCAGTGAACAAAATGAGTACTTGCTCAAGAGATTGAAACTTAAAAAACAAACCAAATAGACATTCTGGAGATGAAGAACTCAATAAAAGAGATAAAGAATGAACTTTTGAGGTGGGGGGGGGCGTGGGGGGGGAAGAAAGCACCAAAATCAGTTTAAGTCTCATATTTATTTCTGTCATAAAATTTTCAGACTTTAGGAAACCTGCACCTCTGCCATTTTGTTTTCTGTGTGAGAAAACTGGGGCCCTCAGAAACCGTGGCTTGTCTAAGTCAATAGAACCTAGACGGCCTGGTTTCCAGGCTGCAGACATTTGCTTGGTGAACGTAGAAAGCTTTCTGGTGTTTGACGGCGGCTTTGTCCAACAGCAGACCCAGTCCTCCCGGAGGCAGCGGCTTTGTCCAACAGCAGACCCAGTCCTCCCGGAGGCAGCGCCTCAGGAACACGGGAGGCCTGAGGGAAGATGCACCTCTGTCCTCTGGTGGCTGAGGATTCAACTTGTTCTTGGGGAATTCTTTGGGGAATTAATTATTGCTCCGATTACATGGTGTGTGACTTTCCTTGAGGTAGCGTAGCATATTTATTTTATACTGGTATTTTATACAAAACCAAGGCACAATTGAAAAGACCTTGACACCTTCCCGAAGCTTACAGACAAAACCCACTACCAGTCAGGCCAATTTCTTTTCGTTTTATCTGGCCAATCTCCAAAACAAAAACATTGAAAAAGGTTTTTACTTTGAAATCTGCTCTATTCATCTTGTTGGAACAGTACAGAGCTGTTTGGAACAGCTGCACTCCCTCCAGGTGAAGAAATGAGAAATGGAGGGTCATGCAACCTCTCCATTGGGTGGGGGAGCGGCCGGAGGCCCGTCCACAGCACAAAGGAGCCTACTTCGGTCAATGCAGCTGGCACTCAGGGTGGCTTGTGCCCAGGCAGGAGAGCATGTTTCTAACGTCATACTTTCCTGTTCCATTTTCTGTGGGGAAAAGCTTTCAGATAGAAACACATGTCCCTCGGTGGGAGGCTTCCCCAGACCCTGGGCAGCCACCTGCTGCCAGCTCACCCACGTGTCCACAGCCCCTCCATCTGTGATTGTGCACTTGCCCTCAAATTCTTAGTCTCCAGCCACGCAGGCTGTAAGGGGAACACAGTGTAGTGTGTTCTCTATTTAACTTTGAAGGAGTGTATGCATATAGGTCTAGGGCACACCTCCCCCCACACCCCCCTCCCACCTCTTCCCACCCCGTGTTTAAGGAAGTGATATTTGAGCCTTGGCTAAACAATGGAAGTCTTGGAGTAAAGTGTATCTGGGCAAATGTGACCGTGTTCTGAGCCAGCCTGCTGTTTCTTAGACACATGCGTATGGAAGGAATAACCGCAGCCCTCAGATCCCCCAGGTCTTGCAAACGAAAACCTTAAGGACACAGGTTTCTTGTCCCTTGCCTGACCTCTCTTTGCTCCCTTCGCCAGGAAGGCTCTGATGGCAGCTGGGGAGACGGAGGAGCAGGACGGAGGGAGGGAGAGAGAACCCATGCCTGATGGATCCCATTAGGCATAGTGTGCAAAGCAAGTTGAGATGAAGTAGCTGCTTTGGTATGCATCCAAAACTGCTGTTCTATTTTTAGCTTCCCCCACGTGCTTCTTAGCCCCACATTGTCCGCCTGGGCACCTGGATCGGCAGCAAAACGTGGAACTGAGCCGCTCATTTGAACGTCTGGGAGGAAGGAGGCCATTGATGCAGGGCTTGTTTATCGCTGACAGGGAAGGGGGGCC